TTGCACTTTTATAAATCTACTATAGAGATTTTATTCTACGGAGATTTTTTTGAGTGTAGTAATTAAAATCTTATATGAATTTTAATGTGTATGGTCATAAGAGCCAGTGTCCGTGAAAAAATCATAAAAATTTGTAGAGGCAATATTTTTAAAAATAGTTTGCGTCAATATTCATGAAACTGTGACTTCTACTACATGTCTCAAAGTGAGCAAGATTTGATCATTTTCATTGAGCATGCTGGTTGAACATCGGTCGTGGCTTACGTCAGAGTTGTAACCGGTCTAAAATTTTCAGACCGGTTTAGTCCGGCCGGTTTCAAAATTTTCTCAAACCGGTAAAGAACCGGCCGGTTTCAAGAGTTTTTGCAGACCGGTAAAAACCGGTCGGTCTTGCACAGTAAGATTAATTTGTTAAATGCAGTAACATTAAGAACAACTAGCTTTTCTTTGATTTCCCATTGTCTTTGACAGTCTCAGAGAGAGAAAAAACAGTGCCAGAGTCGCTTATAACTTTGAGATTTCCTAAAGATGAATATGTGATGTTTTTTCAGCATCAAAAAGAGTCGATCAATGCAACAACTTTCTGCCAGACGTCAAGTGTTGAAAGCTTCTGCTAAAATTTCTCGAAAATACGTAATGTTTCTCTTACATTTACTCTTCAATCTCAAATACGATCACAAATAAAACATCGATGAAGTTATATTTGGAAATAACTTTTGACTAACATAATTTCATTGTGCTTTGTTCACATTGAAGTTTAGTTTAATCCAAGAGATAAAGAGGCATAGATAAATATACAAACAAAAGACTGATAGTTTCTGAAACATCGTTGTTCGTTGTTTTTTTGATAAACATATTGAAATTCGTGCTCGACATAGTTCAACAGAGGAAACTGTAACTCGAAGAAATATTTTTTAAATCGGCAAAACTGGCGAAAACGGGCCGGCTTATCTGGTTCAGCTGGACCAGTAATAACCGGCCGGTCTAACCAGTTCAACCGGTCCTGTCCGGCCGGACCAGTTATAACTCTGGCTTACGTGGACTGACTCATAAGAGTTTTGGTTGCCGAAGTGTTTTATTGCTTCCCAAGTTAGTGTTTCGCCATTTCAAATCATGTTCTTTTGTTTTCTGAAAGGTATTGGCATTATTGGCAATTATACCAGTATAAAATCTTTAAGGGCATTTAAATCATTAATTCACTGTGGTATTATGAAGAATAATATTATAAAAAACTTTACATTGGTTGGACATTTTAATTCAATAGGTATTTACGAATATTATCTGCAATATTTTAGAAATGATAACGATCTTCAATATAGCAATCAAGGCAGCAACGAAACGTTTTGGTGTCCACGCTAAAAAAAGATGCCGACTTTCTTAAAAAAAAGATGTCATAAGGAACCATTTATGGTTTTAGCGAAGATGCTGAACTTTTTAAAATTCCATTCGTTTATTAATAAACCATCAAAGATTCTAGATAACTTAAAGAACTATGCTAGATAAAAAATGGTTCCAGAGTTCAAAGAAGTTCTATCTCACACCATTTTTTCTTTAAGCTGAACTCCTTTTACAAAGATAGTTCTAGCGCAAGTCGCTTGAACTAAGCTGGATCATTTTTTTGAGCGCGACTTCATTAACGTCAATCCAAAATAGCTGTACTGGGTGTGGGTGTGAGTATGGGTGTAGATGCATATGAGTGTGAGTGGGTGACTGTAAGGGATGCATCAAATCCAATTCTAGAATTGGATTTGACTCGATTTGGTGCACCCCTTGTGGCTGTGGATGTGTGGGTGAGTGCGGATGTGGGTGTGGGTATGGGTGGGCGTGGTTAGAGAGATAGTCACATCCACTCATACCCACACCTCCATCCACATCTAATAACCACACCCATACCCAACACTCACACCCCAAAACGAAATCTTATCAACTAATCGAAGATTACCAATGAAAGTTAGATCGAAAATGATAAGCACAAATTTCATTCAGAGAATATGAAGGCTTTTTCAGCAAAAAAAATGCCCCTATTAGTATTAGAAAAATGATTATTCGATTGATTTTCTCGATTGGATTAATAAAGACCCGAAATTGTTCGACCGAAATTCTCAATAGATCATATCTGTAATCAGATTACTTGTGCAAACTATGAAAGTATAATGTACACTCTAATCACTGTAGTAGAACAAGATCAGTTTGATCTTGTTTCACCATTATGGATGAATAATTTATGGCTGAAGTACTACGACTAATTTACGACCATTTTTCGAGCTGGAGTTTTAACTGAATAGTCATAAATGTCGAAAGTATAAATTCTTGTAACTAAAAGGCAATTAATCATTAGTAAGTGAAGAAAAAAATTTATGCTCGCTACGTTCACCTTCTGGCTCGCTTTCAGTTTGACTGGCTTCAGCTATAGTGCTGCTATTGGCTCTGATTCTTGAGATGTCGACCTTCATGTCGTGACTCCTCGTGGTCAAACACAAGATTGAAGATTTGCGATCGATTATCGACTTCTAGACTTCAGAGTGAATAACCTCGACCCAACTAATGCCACCGATCAGTGTTAATAAAGGTCAATTCTTCGATTTAGACAGTCGTCAAAAGGTCGAGAGAGTCGCGACAATCTTAGCACCCAACACATTGTTAGCAGTCATGCAAGTCAATAATCCATCAGTAGTGGGTACAGCTTTCTTTGCAATGAGTGATCTGACCTACCGATGCTCGTGGTCAGTCGTAAATGCACAAAATCATGATATGGTCATCATGGTTAGCCATTGTGTTTTAACTCGACAGCCAAAACTTAGACAACCAATTTGCTGTTTACCCCTCAGTACTCGGACGGTCCTAATGCCCTATTCGTCAACTTCACTACGCGTAAATTGGCAACAACATCACAATAAATAGATTCAGGAGATTGTAATAATGATGTTGCCATTGTACTACTCAATTCAAACAGTAAATGTGCACACATACAAGACTATATTGGTACCCTTGGCGTCGCTCTCAATGTGTCGAAAAGTGCAGCAACAAACTCATTCAATTATCCACAAAAAGTAAACAATGGCACTACGATGGCTGCTTGTGCTAGTAAATCATCCAATATTTCACTAGGAACAATATTGGCACACTCTTTCAAAACAATCAAAAACTGTGAAGCTTTTGTAGAATGCACATTATAAAACGATTTGTCAATCATAAAAAAAAATTCACTTATTCATCGGTATTATCCAGACAGAGCTCAAGAGTGCGATAAATCTATCACAGTTAGACAGAATGTGTTCTCTTTCCAGTCGACATAGATATGGGTTTTTCTTGATGTTAATCTTCGAGAATTATTTCAAGAATTCAGTCTTCGGGATTGACCATAATATCTGATCTCAATTCTATCCGATCAAAAACCATGAGTACTATTATGACATTTCTCTTGGAATATCCCTTGAAATAACAAAATGATTCTGTTGTTTCGACAGGATCTAACAGAGCGATGAATATATCTTCAAATGTTTGTTTTCTATACCAAGAGAGATTTTTATCGAAATGTGAAGCACGCCTTGAGAATATGAAAATAGACAACTTTTAATTTTCTGTCTGCACATGTGTAACCATACCAGAGTTTTCTCTCTCTCTGATTGAGTAAAACAGAGTTCTAATTCAATCTGTTATCAGTATAGGATGTAGATATTTTCTTGTTTCAGATCATTTTCAAAGGAGCATTACTTTTGAATTTGAATCTCATATGACCTACGTGATTAATTAGAATATCAAGGATATATTACATAGAATATAAACATTTCTGTGCTATGACTATGTATAGATCTGTCCTTTCGAAATATTCCCATCTCCTAGAAATGTGACACAAATCTTCTTTACCTAAAATAATAGATGGCGCTATAATCTATTCTACCAGAATACTCAAGAAAAAATCCTGTTGTCATTGACAAATCTTAAGTATGAGTGAGTTTAAAATCTATTTTAATAAAATTCGATAAGAAATCTAACGAAATAACATAGAAGCAACTACGACGTGTTTCGATCTCTGAGCAGGATCTCATCCAGTGGTTTAGATGTGTTTTATTATTCAATTCAAAATTTACGAGAAGTAACATAATTAATCTCAAATAAGAATCATATAATAAAAAAGCAAAGATTTGAGTATAATGGGGAGTTTAGACTTGATGTAGCAACGCGTAGGAGATATGGGGTAGAGGTTAAATAATTTCAAGAAGTGTCAGACGTGTTCGAAAAACTTTTGAGTATGTTTGATTAATGAAGAAGATCTGGGATAGTTCCTTTAAGGAAAGACACGTCAAATAGTACAAAGAGCAAAATGTTATGGAGGAAGCAAGAGAGTCGCTGCGTTTCATGAGATCGATGTTCGTATACTAATATATTAGACAGTTTCTGCTACTGCCGTTTATTCATTGACGAACAATCAACAAAATAAAATAATCTGGAATGAAAACAAGAAATGTGTAGAACTTGTTCAAGGAAAACAAATGTTAGAATGAGCTTATAGTGTCAGAAATCTACTGTAGATTTGTAAAGTCTTCAAGGAAGAAGATAGTAAGAAGATGTAGGATGTGAGTGTAGATCTGGTATTCATTCATACTCATACCCAATCTAGTCATGCACTAATAAGACTATGACCTTCTAATGCTGTGTTTGAAAGATATAACTATCACAATTTTCCTCTTTTTTTTTTATTTCTGACATATGTTTTACATTATGTGATGATTTTTTTTATTCCTTTTCTTTATTCATACGCATACATGTACGTGAATATTAAAATATATTGATGAATGATTGTCACATCAAGGAACAAGTATAATAATAAAAGTAGTAAAGGACAACAAGAAAAAAGGTAAGGTTTTTATCAACTCAATGAACCACATACTGTATCAAGCAATAAGGCATAAAATAACGACAAATATAAGGTTTATTGTAAATTTGATAAGCTTTGAGGCATATCTGAATTGAATCGATCGGTAGAAAAGTAAGAAAATATGCAAAACTCGCTGGAAATTGGTGGCACACCAACGATTCATAAAGATCGGTAAGATTTGATTGTTGTCCATCCTTTTTTCCACGATTTCAATATCAAAGAAGAAGGATACTCATATATGATAGATCATTATTGAGTCATCAACATTGCAGGAGTCCACCTTCATGGAAAGTATTTTTGATACTATTTATCGTACTTGTTGGTTTTCTTTTCATTTCGACCTTTGCATTGGCCATCTGGTTCGGAATGGAACAAAACAAATCAAACGGTATGTATTCTTATATTAAATGAAAAAGTAATATATATTATTTCTATTTTTCATTTGAAGAAAATGATATATGTTTAACTCGAATCTGTGTTGAAGCAGGTTAGTGGAAAAGATCTTTCCTAGACAAGAAGTCGAACTATTCTGCTATTCTAGCTAACAATTTACTGAAGAGTATCGATGAGACGATTGATCCATGTGAAAACTTTTATCAGTTTACCTGTGGAGCATGGCTCAAAAATAGAAAAATACCTGTGGAAGGTCAGCTCTTTTTCTCTTTCTTTTATCCTTGTCAAACGTTACTTTATTTGAAGATACGAGTGAGACTACATTCAAAGTAGTAAAAACTCAATTAACTAACAATATAATTGGTTGGATACTATATCTATTCATCTTCGATTACTCTTTTTCTCTCTCGTTAAAGATGTTCTCTCATCATCAACATCGACAAGTATCGATGAGTCTCACGCTATTATTAACGCTCGTCGTTTGTATGCTTCCTGCATTGATGAAGAAGCCATCGAGATGGAGAATGTCAATGTGCTTCTCTCATTCATAAACACACAATTGGGCGGATGGGCCATGTTGCAAGGCTCGAAATGGAACAGTTCAACATTTAACATTTTGAATCAATTACTCAAGCTGTTCGAATATAAACATTCAGTCATCTTCAATGTCGACACAGTTGTTGATGATCAAAATTCGTCTGCTAATGTAATAAGAGTATGTGAGTTTCGATGTATATTTGTATCAAGTATTTCTAGCACTAATTTAGATCGGACAAAGTGATCTTATTTTGGGCATACGTAGCATTTATGAGCGCGAGAGTCCAATCACTATTGCTTACCGTCAATGCATACATGATATAGTCCTAGCATTGACTAATGATACATCGATGATCAATGACGACATCAATGCTATATTTGAATTAGAACAGCGCATTGCCAAAGTACTCTTTTCTGCCATTACTCATATCGAATATCGATCTGAATTGTGTTTCCTTCTATAGTATCACTGGACGATTGCTGAGCAGATGGCTCATGTTGATGAAAGCATTCGTACGACACTCGGCAATCTTTCGCATACATTGGATGTCAATGTAAGTATCTACTATATTCTGTCATGTTTATTATATTTGCTCAGTTTGACTTTGTGAGTTTTCTTCGGCATGCCTATGGCTTGGCCAATGTAAGCCTCATGGATGAGGATATTGTGTTCATTAATGAAATAGATTTTATACGCAATGTTTCTTCAATCATTAATCATTATTCACCACGTACTTTGCAAAATTATTTAGTGTGGCGTTTCGTAGTCAATCGAATTGATCAGATGCCAAAACGATTTCAAATGATCAAACAGAATTTTCTTAAAGTGTTTACAGGAAGCAAATCTCAGCAATCACGTACAATTGAATGTGCCACCTTTGTCAATACTAATATGGATTTTGCTGTTGCTAAACTCTACATTCAAAAGTATTTTGACGAGAATGCTCGTAATCAGGTTAGTTAACGACAATATATTTCATTTGCTAATTATTTTTTTGTTCAGTCCATGGAAATGATTGTGAATATTCGCAATACATTTATTGATATAGTTCAACAATCATCTTGGATGGATCCGATTTCGAAATCTAAAGCAATAGAAAAAGTGAGTTCAAAACAGAAATTTAAGCACACAATGACATCATTCAAAAGGTCCATGCCATGATCGAAGAGATCGGCTATCCCGATTATTTGGGCAATGACAATTTAACCAGGTTGGAGACAGATTATGCTGAGGTACAAATAGAAAGAACCTTCTTATTACTAATAATTTAGTTTTGAATTATTGTTTGCTTTTCTTGTTTAGTATAATTTTAATTCGTCTTTGATGAGCAATGATTTGATTATACTTCGACTAAACATGAAGAAAAATGTTCAAATGCTTCGCGAACCAGTCGATCCTAGGAAATGGGCTGTTGCACCGACTATTATCGATGCTACCTATACGCCAGAATATAATCGAATCAGTAAGATTTATCTTCTAATTATGTGTTCATTAGACTCTTTATAGCTTTTGCGGCCGGTGTTCTTCAAATGCCAGCCTATCATAAAGATGCACCAAAGTGAGTTATTTGTTTTAGCCTTTCTTATTGTAATCGATCTTTTATTCGACGATAGATATCTTAATTATGGCGGTAAATAATTATGCGATTTCGAAGACAAATTATATAGGTTAGTAATGATTTTTAGGCATCGGAACGATTATTGGCCATGAAGTTACACATGGTTTTGATGATTTCGGACGAAAATTTGACAAAGATGGAAATCGAATTCCTTGGTGGACTGACGAGACGATCAAAAAATTCAATGAACGAAAGCAATGTATCATCGATCAATACGATCAATACACAGTGACTTTGGCTGGAACAAAATTGAAGGTTTTCCTTTCTATTTATTTAAGCTTGGTGAGAAAAGTTCGACTCCTATTTAGATGAACGGTTCTCAAACACAAGGAGAAAATATCGCAGATATTGGCGGATTGAAAGAGGCTTTTTTCGTGAGATTTCATTGTTTTTTTGGTCGCACATATATCAGTTTACTTCTATAGGCCTATCAAAATTGGGTTCGACAAATGGGAACTGAGGAGAACAAATTACCTGGTTTACAAAAATATACACCTGAGCAATTGTTCTTTATCAATTTTGGCTACATGTGGTGTTCGAAAGTGACAGATGAATTGACTCTTTCATATATTTTACAAGATGTACATTCATTATCACAGTTCAGGTATGTTATTCATTGTATCATTCTCATTCGTGATGATTATCGAAAGTCATCGATGTGTTTCAGAGTGCTTGGTCCAACGTCGAATTTTGATGAATTCGATCGAGTCTTCGGCTGTAAACCTGGTCAAGGCAACAGTCGAGTGAACAAATGCAGTGTTTGGTAAAGTGAAACTATATTCAATACTTTCATACTACTCACAATTGAACGTCACACTTCCTTGTTTTTGTTATTTTCTATTGACTACATTGCATCTATATTCTGTTTTATCGATCAATTATCACACATACAACAGAGTATGTAAACGTTGTCGTCCGATTCGATCATTGATTACACAAATCAATACATTCTTTTTATCATCTTTTGCATATGTATCAAAGTTTTCTTTAATTTTGTGATCTAGAATTATATATCAATATAGAGTACCATGTTGTTTTTAAAGATTATATTCATCATCTTTTGACGCATAATTCCATCATAAAACACACTATACTGGAGATATGTAATGATAATGATACTCACGTGATCTCTGTTTTATGTTAACGATATATTAGAATAAAATTTTTCAAATCATTGCAAATTAGGGTGTGGATGTGACTGTGGGTATCTATTTGTATGAATGAATACTCACTCACTCACTCTCACATCCATCCACACCCTCTCATTAGTTCTAACAAAGATCAGTTATGCATGATTTGTTAATAATTGTTTACATCCTTGTTATGATTGAGACCTGTTTGTTCAGTGAATAACAACAACTTTACACACGATGGACTAGTAAGTGATCTTTTCTGGTACGTAGAATGTGCATTGTAAGCGATGTAATGCATTTGAGAAGAGATATTAATCGGTGACTTGAGTACCTTTCTTTCCTATGGGGCCGTAGCTTTCGACAGCTCTCAATTTCGTCTCGTAGTTTTTGCTCTCGACAGGTTTTGAATTAATCGGTACCTCGACTGATTTTTCAGAACCGAATCATAAGGCAGTCGTTTTGAGAAAACGTACAAACCATTTTTCCATGAAATCATATTTTTCTAAGAAATGGATGGGAAGTAAGTTATATTCATTGCACCGGAAAATGCAAGCTATCAAAATTTTCGATTTTATTGATGTAAATTAAGGCTAATTGAAGTTTCTAGAGATATAAATGATGCATCTTCTGAGAGGACAATTAGGAATATGTGTTATTACTCAGCTCAAATATTTGCTAAATAAAAGATTTTGCAAAACTTTTGACAAATCCAGTAAAACATCACATTTAAAAAACTGATTTGAATGTCATATTAATTTCTAAGAGTCCATCAACTCAAGCGTAGACGTGTTTATCGATGTACATAAGTAAGGCTTCGAGGCCAGCCATTGTTTCTTCACCACTTGGAATGATTTGGTTTTCGGGAAGTAAAAATCCATATTCACCTATTGAACAAGGATTCGACAGCACTTTGTCAAACTGGAATAATTACACTTACCAGTATCCCGAAGTTCGACACCATAGCTAAATGTCACATTGGCTATACCATAGGTCCAATCAATTGTACTACCTGATGTCGGAGAGATAATTTGCGCAACACTACCATGCTGATATTGGGTACCTTTAATATTATACAAAAATGATTCCGAAACAATGAGTATTTCGCAGTAGACGAACCATGCACAGCAGTGAGCGCGTTGATAGCTTGGATAGATCCATCATCTTGTAATTTGAATTGTGCTGGACTCGTCGTTGTATAAGCTAGACAGAAATGCTAGAAGATGAGATCGAACTTAACATTCAAAGCTTACACCATGGTGACATCCACAATTGTGAGTATGAATGAAAATTGATATAGTTCACAATTGTACCTCGTTGATCAGCAATGAATTTTGCTACTTGAGCTGTTTCAATTTCGGAAAATGCTTTTTCGCCACAGAAAGTGTCATCACAAGGATCATGGGAAGAACCGCCTAGAATTAGTTATGTGAAAACGAAGGCATCACAATGAGCAAACAATAAACATACTTTTACACCAATCATAATCCCAATTACGGTTCGGATCAGCACCATAACAATTCGCAACCGATGTTTTGCTACGAGTCTTGCGCCATAATCGATCTTGAAAAAAAAATCAAAATTTTAATAGAAATATTCTTTTTTGATATTAACTATCACCTTTTGTCCATGTATATGCATAGCCATCAACATTGAATACAGGCAAAATATAATAATCAAATTGATCAACTAGTTGTGTGATGGTCGGATCTTGACCATACTTTGATAGAAGAGTATAGGCAGTATAGATAACCGTTGCTGGGCTGATCCATTCTCGAGCGTGAATTCCTATATACGGATGCAGTCAAAAATAAATGTGATTTTTAAAAAAACAAAGAACAACGGACCTCCGTCCCACCAAACAGCCTTTTTCGCAGTGACTTTGGTGCCGTCGCGCTTGGTTGCCATCTTCTTTGATGAAATTTTGAAGCCTTTCATGTCTCTATTTTCATATGATTTCCCGACGGTAAATGGTGTGACCATTTCCGGATAAGTCGCAACCATTTGATCAACCCATGCATGAATGTCTTCAATAGTGTGATACTTATCGTAGGCAAAATCATTCGTATTCGATGATGATTGAGTTAAATTTTGTAGAATTCTTTGTCTTTCAATTATTGCACCAATATCATTCATATGAACCACATATTCAATTTTCACACCGTCCGATGTCAAGAAATCAGCAAAATCATCGATTGCTTGAGGTGGCACACGAATATCGATCTATTTGAGAGAAAAAAGATTATCAATTGTAATGAAGAGAAACATGTTTGAATAAGAACTGACTGGTTCATGGATGCGAAAGTGCTTTGACCAAAAGTTGATGTCATGTAGGTGGGCTATACGACTGAAAGCGAGTATTTTAGCAATTTGTTCGTTATTAGTGACATGCAAACGCCACAGCTGATGGTTTGCGTATGATTTGGCATAGTTTCCATTGGTACCAATTGTCATGGATAGAACAAGAACGATGAGAAAAGCAGGCAACACTCCCATTCTCATAGATGAAGATTAACATATAAAAAATGAGAAAAATGGTATAAAATGGCCTGTCGTTATTACATTTATAGGTGCAGAAATATCCGAAGAAAGATAACAGCGATAATAGATAAGATTTTGTTGTCCTTGTCATCCTTACCGTTTGAAATAACAAAAAAAGGTGACTTGATGTTAATGCAACATAGAGTATGATCAGCATGACGAATTGCATAGCATTCAAGCGTTCGTAAAAATGTTAAGTTGTTCTATGGTCACAGATGATAGAACAGATGGAGTGTAGATGTGGATATGGATATGGGTGCGGGTGTGGTAGTCGGTGGCTGCGCGTGAGCGTCGATATGGAGGTATGGATCGAATTTGCATGGACTGAGTGAGAATCGACACCCACATCCACAAAGCACATCCACTCACAAGTATCGGCACCCACACCCCATTTGTCGATCATTATATTCCAATGAATTAAATGCAATGTAAAATTCTTAGAAAATTTAATTTAAATTTTTCACAAATTCTTCAATATATAAAAAATTGATTCAGAAATCAGGATCGCATTTGAGAGGCTTATAAATCCATTTTTGATCAATTTTAATTCAACATTTATTTTTTTTTATGCGAAAGAGTAGAGTTCTACATTGGTATACTTAAAGACAAGGTTCATAAATAGTCTATGAAGACTATCACTTCTCGCTGCGATATAAAAATTTCGCATTGCTTTCGTGTCATAAAACAATATTAAAAGTTTTTTTTCCTCTATTTACTTAATTTATAGTATCACTATGGATATAAAATCATTGACATATCTCATTACTACTAGGCATGCGGCCAAACCGCTTGAGTCGTTTTCTGCCTAAATGAAGAAAAATACTCTTATCTACTGAATCATGCGACACAACATTTTTCCGTCGGTGGAGAATTGAAGTGGGGAAATAATAATATAGAATATCAATGGAGAAATTTCGATAACGTTGTTAGACTGTGTGATAGAATCAATCAAAAATCCAAATTTAATGAGTTTAGGTTTAGATTGTTTTCAGTTTTCTTTCAATCTTGTGTTTATTGATATACGTAGTTCATGATCAATAAGATAAGTTTGAAATATTCAAATTCTGTTATTGGATTCAGGTACATACCAAATTACAACTTTATTAGTAATCATTTTGATGTGTTCTTACGAAAGCAATAGAGTTATCCCAAATCTAATGATAATTAGAATACTGATATTGTTTCATAGCTTAATTTCACCAAGTATCAAAGCTTTCGTTAGATGACTCGAACAAACTGCTTTAGAATTATCTATATGAATTTGTTCCCGATTTGTATTTGTTAAAAAACTAACATTTATTAATACTGGGAATTTCTATTCAAAAAATATGTTCATCGGTTGTTAGATATTGATATTTAGCAGCGAAAAATATTTCTGCACTTTTTTAATCAAACATAAATTTTCCGGAACATTTTTATCTTCGGTCAATTTTTTTCGTACGTCATCCAGAAGATCTAACTTTGCATGTCTGATGATCCATTATGAAATAATTTCTTTCTTAAACATAGTCTGTTTGAATAAATAATAGCACGATCTAATTTTCCAAAAACAGATTCAAATTCTAAACCTTTATATTCTGTTTTATTTAAAAATCTTTCTTTTGTTGCTCCATTATTAACACTACATGATCTCTGTAGATCTTTTTGATCGAACATCCTTCCTAAGATTAAAAATGTATCTATTATCCTTATTATTATAATAAACTTTTCCTTGCTTAAAAAATCTAAATAAGAGAAATTTATTTAATCATCAGCATTATGAGCAATCACTAAATATTTGTCATTGAGAACTGCTTAGGTAACAATAATTGCTTGAGCATCATCAATATTTTGTATGAATTCATAAATAAACCGTATATTGTCAATATATAAATCATTTGATAGTGCTTTTAATGATTGAGCTAGATTTATTGCTTGTTCTGGATGTTTATAATCTGTACTTTTTTGAAGGAAGATATTCAATACATGATCTTAAACTTGTTTTTTTCGTTGCCATCTCTGAAATAATATGAAAAAAAACAATGAAAGAACACAAAGCAACTTGTTTAAATAACCATTTGTGACTCATCAAGTTTTTTTCCAAACTGATTTCTTGG